TGGAATCTTGACATGATGTCACCATACAGTACAATGCGAGTTGCAAACCCCAAGTAATGTACCTCTGGTTCAATGTATTACTAGCTGCTTTGCAAGTGTTGCCAATTAATTGCAGAAACGTTATAATTTTCAGACTTAGTATAAGTTTACGATGATTTGTCTTTCGATTTTACCTAGCAGTCACATCTCAGTGAATACCCGAGAAAACAATCCACCAACAACCAAGCATATTACCAAGAATGTACGTTATAGAAAATATCAAATGAAGTGAACTAGCATGTTCAGATGAATGGACTAGGTGGCGCTAAAACAACTATTTGGTTCACAACAACGCAACCTTCAAGTGTATATTTGTTTGGAAAACGTTATCGACACTTTTAGTAATATATACCACTAAACGTATTTACTAGTTGCAGATTATACTCCTAAATGTACAAATCACGTAAATTACCTGACTCAAATATTTTCTCCTAAAACACACAATTATCAGCGAGCGCCCGGGCAAACCACGGAGTGTACTCTCTATCAGTCACGGTTTCAACACGACACAACCACAGTGAGCTGGCATACCAGTGATAATACAATAAATGCGATTAATCTACCGTTGTTTACTATTTATTTTATCATCACTTGTACTTGAGCTGACTGTCACGTTGGGGGCAGCCACGTGATGATATCCGTATATTGGCCTGATTAAACTACCTTCTGTGAAATTAAGAAATGGTTTATTTTTAAATCTACCATTTCCATATTTGGAAACAATATATGGAAGCGACAATTTGGGCTCTAATGAGTGAATGAGCATGTTTAAGTAATTTAGTTTGATAATCTACCTGATAAGAAATTATGTGATTTATCATAATATATAAAATAGTATTTTTTTTATGAATTAGTAAGAACTTGATTTACATGTAATAGTCACAGTCAAGTCATGGTGTTTTGCTACACGAAACTTTACCATAATCAAACACAAATACTATTTCAACATTTTCAAAAATACAAAAAATTATGACTGTTCTAATTATTAAATTTGTTGATTATTATTATTATTATTATTATTAGAATTTACATTGCTCCTCTTAACTAAATCTCGAATACGGTTATCAAAAATGTAATTCATAAAAGTGTTACTTTAGTAAGTATTAGATCGTGTACTGTTACTTGTAATCAGTTTTTATTTCATTATTTTATTTCATTTCAGCCTAGTGAATTTGGATAATGGAGAACCATTGGTTATATGGCAGCAGGACACCGAGTACTTCGAACAGAAGTCGACGCACTGCACGCTCTGTTAGAAGTGCCAAAGGAAGCCGTTTACGAAGTCGTCATGGACGATATCTTTCTACACGAGAAAATGACACACAGGAAGCGGAAGAAGAAGACGCCCAATCACCACCAAGATACGATGTCACGTGCAAACCACATGGTCTAGCAGTGATTATTGCTGTGGAAAATTACAACAGAGACGAGGACTACAGACTAAGTCGTGAATTGCCGACAAGACCCGGTACTCAAGATGAAGTCGGTAAGAAGTTACAAATGTTTAGTGCTCCAAGCTGTTTCCACAAAGCCTCGGATTAAAACGAATGACATTGGGTTAGACAAAATACTCACCCAAAGTTACATAAGAGAATATCTTTATGAATATTAATTTAACACTACGAGTTGGTGCCCTGGAATCGATGTTGGAATCCCGCCAATAACACCTGTTAACTTCATAACACTTTGGTTCGTATGTCACCATGACAACAGTGGCAAAAGCAAAAATTTAAAAGCGATATTATCCATGCATTATACATTTATGTGTTACTATAGTAACGTGTGAATTTATGACAATCTTGCAGCGTTGCGCATTCTACCGACAAATATAGATCCAAGCAACTAGTCATCAGACAAGTATTTGGTCCGTCAAGTCTTAAACGATGATTCCTATTGTGAACTGAACATTTCTAAAAACAAAGGCATATTTTTGAAGATACTTTATTCATATATCATTGCATTTACTTATTTGTTGTAATTTGTATTTGTATTGAGTAACACAATTCTCCTGCTCACCCCAGTTTTCAAATTGGAAATCCCTTACCGTATTTCCATACTAAATTGTGTTTTTTTTTTCTCAACAGCTCGACTTCGTAGAATACTGGAAGATCTCGACTACACGGTACTGGTCTATCCCGACCTGACAGCATGTCAACTTAAAATGAAATCTGACATGATTGCTGAAAAGGATCATACGTCATACGATTCCTTTATTTGTTGTGTTCTGTCACGTGGCACAAATACACATGTGTACGGATCGAATGGAATTCCTGTCAGACTTCATGACTTTATTGGGAATTTTACCGGAAGTCGATGTCCTTCACTTGGTGGCAAACCCAAATTATTTTTTGTCGAATCTCATCCTGCCCCGAAAGTGAGAATTGATCGAATGCACGATGTTACGCACGTGTACGGAGAAAAACTACGAGTCAGATTTAGCGGATATCATTTGGATCTGAAATGTGATTTCATTGACTCTGATCCAGTAGTTGACATGGAAACCGACCCAAGTGACTTAGATTTTCTTGTTGCAAAATGTGTGTGGAAATATCGGACCAGGTATCCTCCTCTTGGGTCTTCATTTTTGACCCGAGTTGCGCATGCGCTAGAAAGAGCCAATAGTAAAAGAGATATGTTCCCTGCCATCAACGAAGCTGTTACCGCGTTTAAGGATGAAATCGGTGAAAGTGAGGCAAACGTAATGCTGACGTCAACACTTCGTAAAGAGCTTTATTTGAGAACAAATTGCAGAGCGAAAAGTGTGACATTTCGTGATTGAAAGGAGAGTTCCCACAATTCCAGCCATGTTGTCACGTGACACTGTACAAGTAGACAGTCTACACAAACACACTATATACTGTAAAGGGAGTAATTATTCACTGGGTTTTAATTTGGCTTATTTCGCTGACTGGAAAATGCGCTAAATAAAACCCAGTGAATATGTAAAATTTAGCATAGAACACATTATCTAAATGACAAAACCGTGAATTTAAAACCCACTGAATATGCCTGAAATGATAAATCAGTGAAATTTAAACCCAGTGAAAATTAGTCATTTTACAGTATGATGTCAAGGTCCCATAATGCATTAGTCGCATGCGATGAATCATTCGAAATATTGTAGCAAATTAATTAGCCCATACACAGATTGAGAGGACGCAACATTTTACAGTACGTCAGTGTTAGCCTGAAACCACGTGACGTTGTGAGAGTAAACGATATTTACATTTGGTAAGTTGAGTTCACTCAACTGTTGACAACCGAGTTTTGTCTAATCTTACAACACAGTAGATCAAAGGTTATGGCTTTCAGACTACATACAAGTTTCTACAAGTAAATAACACCTGATACTCAGTAAAGAGAAAATATTATTAATTCAAGTAAATATTTACTGCATGTATGACTTGAACGTACGGCATGACTACTTGTCTCGTTGACAACAATATCAACTCGCCGATGGAGCGATACAAGGGATATAGTTTTGCGCGATGTAATTCATAGTTTTAGTTTTGTACGATATAATTCATGGTTATATTTTTATTTTTGTGCGATCTCTTGACGAAATACATTAGTTGTTACTATTTACTTATTGGAACTACTTTGAATACTAAGTATGTATGACCACGCATGTAAACACGCTACAGCGCCCTCTTGTGACACATATAACCAACTTGATTAAAGCAATATTTTTTAGCACAGGCAGTGTTTTATTATGTATTTTCTATACATATCAATGTAGATTCTCTTGTTCTAGGATACCATGGGTTGACCCCTAGCATAAAAAGGCGAGTTTTTGAAACCTACCCAGCAGCCGCGGGGAGGCCAGTCTACTTAAAAAGAATCCACCAGGTATATCGATCAAAATGACGGTTTATTGATTAATATAAACGTGTTTATGAATAGCCCTCTGTATTTTAAAACTACCTCGGTTAACAGTACTCTGAATTGTGATAGATTTATTGACACGGAGGTTGGAAGGGTTCAAATATTGTGATAAAAAAGCAGACAATCTGCATAAAATACCACTTAACGCGGTACAAACAACAAAAAACGCCATTTGTCCTTTGACCCACACGTTTGAATTACGATAAATCAATACAGACTTGTGAGGTTGTTGGGGAGAGGTCGATTTGACACCAGTGTAAAGATTAAACAGATAAGAATATATTTACCGGATTATATAAAAAATAACTACAGTGAAGTTGATAGGTACTAGTATAGTAGTCGAGGATAGTGACGTCTAGCTGAGAAAAGTACAGCTTATTGACTACTCAGGTTTGTTACGTCATACCTATATTCCGTTCATTCCTATTACTGAGAATAGTGTTACTGTATATACATTATATTATAGTCTTTCCATGAGTATTCGTTTCAGCCACCTCTGTTTTAGGACCGTAAATATCATCGTACGGGCTATATTATGTGAAAGAGGCGGGTCCGTGGGAAGGGTGGCCTGGTGGAGCATTGTAAATCCCCACAAACTTCCAGACTCAGGCTGTTCGATAATTAAACAGGAGCGCATATTTGAAGTTAAGACTGCAAACGATCCGTGTTGATGCATGTTTGCGTGTATTATATGGGGATAGGGTTACGCTCGTGCATAATAGTCGTTCATTTCTAGTAGGAACTGTACAGATACAAATACAGCCAGCAAGAACGCCAATTCGTACGTTGACACAGACACATTACCACGGTAAGAAAAGTATATAAAAGCCGCGCTCTCAAAATAACCAAGTGAAATGGTGCATGGTCCAATTTTGCCAACTTGAAGATTACGGGAAATAAAATAAAGTGATTTTCATGGCGTCCGAATGCTGGCGATTGTTTCGATTTCCTAGCAGACTTTTATTCCAATTCTATTTTCAAGTGTTTCAATTGTGTTAAGTCTGTAGATTCAAAAAGAATCACGTCTTCCACAAATCACTGCGGTCGGCCAATCTGTGAAAATCTTTGAACATTTCGCACAAATTATTCAGACATTAAAATAATTCCCATATTAATAGTCCCATGAGAGAATATAGCTGTAAATATAATGATCTTACATTCATTTTACTCGTCGCCATGGGACCTATATCGAACACAACACGAGGACCACCACCGAGTCGTGTTATGTTCATTCACTTAGACGTTTGTGTTAAACCCAAGATTTGGGTGACTACAAAATATGGATGTAAAGTATGAAAGCAGCGTGAATTGACGAAGAAAACCTCCACGCAACTTTCTGGAGCGCAACCCCTAGCTAAGTTCTGCGGTGCAGATAGACCGCAGGCGTTCTCCATGGAGGAACTTTTCATTACGTAAACATTTTCTGAATGTAATGGCAACTGTTTTGTGTTTTGCCAAAGTTTTATGGATATATTCATCCATAAAAATCAAATTAAAAAAAGACCCATTTTGGAGATTATTTCAAATTTGGGAGAGTGGAAGTCGATGTAAGTGGTTTTTGTGTCTAGAAAGGGTCGTAAATGAAATTACGGCAAGAATCAACTAAAGGTAGATGCTATTATATTTGTCGAGGAGGTCGGTTGGAATCTGCAGTGAGATTAGTTATTATCGTATGTTGCTTGTGTGCACCGTAATAATGACTGCCGGTACGTTATTTCCTCCCTGTTAACGATATTCGGGTCACATTAATGAATATCACCTACTGGACGGACTGTATTTCTTCTAAAAGAGAGATGTTTTTTCTTAATTCCCGTTGTACCTTCTTTAAATACTTAATGTTTTAGTTATTGACTCGCGCGTTGCACCTTCAGTGAACCAGCATGACGTCACGGCGGCAAAAAACTGAAGAAAGCGTCATTTTATTTGCAAGCCAGTGATTTGTCACACTATACTATTGGAGAATGTCTGTCATTACTTGCTTGCTCAGCATGTCTGTATTGTCAACGATCTGACAATATCAAATACGCTGAGTTCCTATGTGAGTGAAGGACAATTAAATGTCAACGGCAGCTGGATAAATTAACATCGTATTACCATGGTGACACAATATCGTCCATCACATAACACGAATGTGTCATGGAAAAAGCTAACTCAACTTGACAATGAATTAACTTAGTAATGTCAGTAAGTTTTAACTCCTAACTTAACAGTGCCTGCATAGACACTGTACATGAAAGCGGTCTTTATATAACAGCGTCCTCTTGTGCCGCATCGGAACGTGCTGTAAGATACGTGTTAACAAAGAAATACGAACTTTTCGCAGTCGGCGCCTACAGTGACGCTGGGATAAGACCCCGGAGGAAACCAACCCGATAAAAGTATAACTGGCATTCGCTGATCCTGTTAGATGGTAATTGGGAAGAACACAGGTATATACACTGTGGATACGACAGATTACATAGGTGAGTGCGGTCACGTTGGACCCCTTGTCAGAACCGTGGCACATACTAAACGCTCCCAGAAGTGAGACAAGTTTGGTAAGAGAAATAGAAACATTTTATCGTACGGCTTATACTGTATCTCAGTGTGCAGGCGAGTAGGTTGTCATGGCATGGTCGCCGTGTGGCAAAATAGGCCAGACACGCGTGGTTCCGCTGAGACGGTGGATATACGAAATATCACATATGTGTTAGATGCATAGAGGTATTATTCTACGTATTTTCAGTCACGTTCGTTGCTAAATACATATGTAAGTATTACTATCATCATAGCGCAGTTGTCGACGTTGCTATGGAAACGTGAATTTATACAACAGTAATGATATGAACAGGAAAATACTAGAAAATATGTTCGTGTTTAGTTTTAACAGTGAGTTATACTCAATCACATTGTCAGACTTAGATAGGTGGATCATGGGAACGAGCCTCGGCTGTATATTTTTACTTGAGAGATACTTTTTGAAACGCTTTACCTGGCTTTAGTTCACTTTGCCTAAGGAGAATTCCATTTTACTCGGAATTAAGACTGCGCACAATGCTACATACACTTACATATGTACTGGTAAGTATACGTATCTGTTCGCCTTGGGCAGATACATATTTAGCTGACACCGTGTCACTGTTTTTTCGCTCACTACGTAAAGTATGTGGCCATTGTTATTAAATGAACATATCACAGTTCACTACACGTTGCCAAAGTCGATTAAAATATATCATTTATTGTCCCGATGAAATCAACAAGCAGAAAATGGAGTTGATTTCCACGTCCGCACAGAGAGAAAAAAACATGATATTTGACCCATAAGTGGAATTCATTATTGCTACGCAACTGGGTTAAGTCGGAGAAAATCCAGTCGGATTATAGTCTTTCATTAATTGTCTTCTAAAATACCTCTCTGTTATTTTTAGTGACATGCTGACAAGTAAGACGTTAATAGTCACTCTGTTAAGATTACAACAACGATATAAGTACAACGTTCACACAGGATGATGAATTCGGACCAAGTTGTGGTGTACGATTACAATAATGCTAAGGGTTCTACCGAATTAGACAGTGCAGGGATGGATCGCACGGTGTTAACGTCTCGTGGAGGTCGAAGTGATAGTCCACAGTACGCAATGAATAGAAGCCTTCGTGGTTTGGCTGTTATTATCGCTAATGTACATTTCAACAAAGACCCGGATAATCCAAGCAGTGTACAGTTAAAGGATTTACCAAATGTCAAGTATGAAGCGGGTAAGTTACACGTTTCCGGCATGCTTTGCCTGCTGGCCACGACTATCAAAGTAAAGAAGGTGGAATGTTGTAAACCCAGCACTTTAATTTACTGAATTTGGCGAGGCACCAAAAATGCGCAGCGATAAAAATTAAACTGTTTACATGTACAACCAATTTGCATTTCGTCCACAGCATCCACAGAATGCATTTCGTTTAAATCAGTGGCGTTTCCTATTTATCCATCCACCATAAGTAATGTTGATTAGAAAATATGAAAACTTGTTGGCTATAGATAAAATATATTTGGGAATTAACCCGGTACCGGAATACGTCACCGTCGTCGTCATACTTTGTTTAACACATGCCATTAGAATGTCCGGAATACTCCGAATAATACCGAATAATACCGAGAACTACAGCTTCAAAACATCGGAAATATCGGAATATCTGCATTTTACGTCAAACATTACATTGCCACGGTATTTTGAAAATATATTAAACTTCGCATCTGTCACGGTTTTGTTTTGTTTGATTTATTATTAGTAGATCATTAAAGCGGCAATAGCTATAAATAGTGATCCTTATTCTCCAATTTTTATTTTTAATAAATTATTTCCTGTGCCAATTTGTAACGTTCATCGACGAAATGTGGTTCCTAAAAGCAAAGCACACGCACTATATACCGACGTTTTACATTAAAGACTGGTAGTAGTCGCGCCACGCATGCGTGAGTTATATGGGTCTCATATAAACAAAGATGGCGACTTTAACTGTTGCGCAGATCAACGAGTACAAACTGAGACGTTGCGAAGCTTTAACTAGGTATTTTAGATGGTTGGTAATTAGTGCAAGTCGCGCCCAGGTAAAACCTCATACTTGTGATTTCCATTAGAAGAGCGCATTGGATTGTGGGAAAATCAATGTTTATCAACACAAATGTCGCACATGCGCAGCGCGACGACTGCCGCGCTTTAAATCACTTGTTAGTGAAAAAAAAAATGACGCAGGGTTGTCTTCAGCTCTCTGTTGAAATCAAGTTTTGTCAAGCGAACCTTAGGATTACGATACAAAATGACAGTTTATCGGGGCTAATCCTCTCTCTGATGGCCTATTACTGACAATTTTATGAGTCATTTCTCTTAATATTGTGCGTCGTGCATCATAATTTTCACAGGTCCATCACGTGACCGATTTTAACGAAATGGCGTCTACTCGACCTTAAGCCTACGTAACACATTTTCAGTGACATTGGCCTTGTTTAGGGTCACTTCGCCCATGCAATTGTGTATAAAACAATATTTGGGTAAGATTCGGTCATCTTTATGAGGTCATATTCAAACATAACAGTTCATATAGTGTGTGGAGAACTTTGTTGAAATCATTTCACGATCACTTTACCGGATATCCGCATTTACCGTCGTTATATCGGATATTACGTCACCATTTCAAGTACTAGTATCCGAAAATGTGTGTCCCGTTATTGACAATGACGTTCGTTACAGAATATTATCCATCTTCGACGGGAAACCTGTGGATAGTAATATCTTGAATTATTTAATGACAATTATGTAATTCAAAAAGAAATTGCAGGTAGAAAAACATGAGAATATCTCATTATTTGTAAAAAAAAAAAAAAAAGAGCGGGCCAGTTGTTACATTGTGAATAATCAATACATGAAAAAGGACAAATCGGCGGAACTTGCATTATGTTAATAATAGAAACAAACCAACAAACTAAATTATTAGACTTATTCCGCTATTGCACTGAGAACAACTTGATTGATATTATGGTAAATTCACTCATCATCAAAGCGGCGAGTGTTAACGAGTTAATATCACAACACATGTTCCAAATACCAGTATTATTGGGTTGTCTCCAATCTAAAAACATAAACACAAAACGCAGCAATCAGACGTGGCTTTTACTAGTACATTGTTTGTAGTTATATACAAGAAATCGTATAAACGGCGCAGTCCTGAATCATGTCATAGTTATTGATATGACCGCGTCACGTGAGGTAATTACCTTTGTTGGCTGTAATGGGAATCTCTGATAGTTGCACGTGTACAACATATACAGTGCTTACCACGTGCACATTAAAAACCCATACAGCTATAAACGGCGTCGTTAAAATGAATTAAATGCGCATGACGTCATGGTGAAAGAAATCCTTTGTATGGATTATTGTAATTTATTGCAAAGCATTGCCACTCATTATAACCATGTACGATATTATAGGCCCCTGGATCTGTATCTTATTGATATCCCTGGATCTGTATCTCATTATATATCATAAGATATGTATCTCACGATATGATATGACACGACACGATACAATACAATACAATACGATAAGATATTTTATTTGGAACGCGCAGTAATGTAATGTCCAAAAAAGCAAAAGACATTCACTACAAGACTAAAACAATGTTGGAAAAGATAAACTTAAGTTGTCACAACTGGGGAGAATTTCTAAGAATAGATCGTCAATACTGAAATTTGTAAAAAGTGGCTCATAAATAGAGAAATTTCTTCCTACATTCTTAGATGATTCTATTTTGACAATGAAATAGATAATGTTTTTCATCTCCAATCTTGTTACAATCATAGATTTTACATAGTCTTTCTTTTCTCTTAATCTCTGAATGTCTCCCAGATTCAACTAGTAAGAAATGTGCCGATACTCCAAACCTTGTCAGAGCAATCCTGTGTTTTTTATTTGTAATGCCATCTCAATATTTTCTTCAACTTAGGCCACACTGATTTATTTTTATGGATGACATCCTCTGAAGACCCCAAAACTAATGCGAGAGGACGAAAAAAAAATCCTGCCAAAAAAAAAAAAAATGTTGCTAAAATCACAGGACTACGGAGCTATTATTACGAATTGAACCGCAGTGTATCAAAAAACAACAAGTCTTAATTTGTAGGAGGCACATGTTGATGTACACATTTCGTACTGTATTACTGTCACAGGTATCATCACTTTTGATTTTGAAAAGGCAAGAGGATAAGGCAGATGTTAGCTTTGCCAAAGGCATACACATCAACTCAATAATAAAGAAAAATTTACTGTGTTGTATTGAAAAAAAAAAAATGAACAATAAGTTTGTCAACAGCAACCTGGAAATTAACTTCTTTGACATTCAAACTACAGCTTTGAAAGTGACACTTCAGATAGACTAAGTGTAGACACAAATGCTCTAGAACTACTTCAACTATGTAACAAATTATAAGAGGCTCGATATTGTAAAAAAACACCAACAGAGAGTCAACAAAAATTTGAATGCAGAAAATTATGTACATGTATCTTGATGAAAATTTGTCATATGATCAAAATATTACTGACTGTGTGTGCAAGTAAATTATCCTAATCAGAAAATGAAAAAAAAAAAATAATAAGGAACTTTTCTTCACCCCAAAAGGGGACTTCGGCTGTGGGGCTTTTGTTGCAGTTTTGTCGACTTCAATGCAGACAAAGCAACCGAACTGACTTGTCGTCTGACCGACTTTTAGGCCACCATACACCTCCATTCCTCTCCCATTCCGCTCATCGTACAGCTGTGTAAACGTCATACCTCCCAGGCCAACGTCAATTGCAGTCCACAACAATCCCTCCCTTATACCTCTGAACTTTTATGCTTACGTATTTTGGTGGTGTGGTCGCCATATTGGATCATTTATGAAAAAATTGGCATGTTTAGAGACAATTTCCTTCCCATAGGTCTTTGCGCTTTACGTAACGCGCATCTAACTGTGCGAAGTTTGGTTTTGAGGTAGTCCAAAACGAGTTTTACGACAAGTCGGCGCTTTGCGACAATATGAGTCGGCAAGTTCAGGACAGAAAACCGTTCTGTGGAGACTCGTCGTCGGAGATTTTTTTTTTTTTTTTTTTTTTTTTTTATGCGCGCGCGGATGTCATCCATAAAATTAAGTCGGTGTGACCTTATTTATCATTCCAAATTTCTTTGTTGAAGTCTAGTTTTTTGTTTGCACCTTTTGCACCCTCCGTTATGCATCTCATTATATAACCCTGGATGACATGAAAGTCACAAGCTATGTGCCCGATAACGGTTTTAGACCATAAATTGCTAGATCGAATAAAAAACTAAAAAAAAAAACGAACTGCGTCTTTAATTATATTTTGACATACCAATAATTGCATAATTGTGTTGTTTTTCTTGTTTGTTTTTCCAGATCAACTGTATAGTCTCTTCACAGCACTTGGATACATTGTTTGTATCTACCCGGATGTGACGTCAGAACAGTTGATACAAAAGTCAGAAACTTACAGTAGAAAGAATCACAGTGCATACGACTCGTTCATTTGTTGTATCATGTCACGTGGTACAGCTGCGCATGTCTACGGCAGTGATGGTATTGCTGTGAGTTTACAAGAATTCATCGACAACTTCACTGGTTGCAGATCACCAACTTTACACAATAAACCTAAACTGTTTTTCATAGAGTGCTTTCCCGGACACAAAGTAAGGTCAGAACATGTGTTGAATCATAGAGAATGGATACACATTGCATTTACTGGCTACTCTCTCAATTCGAGCTGCGAGGTTAAGTTGTCAAGGCAACTGGATACGGATTCTCTGCAGACGGATGATCCCGACTTTCTATTGGCTAACTGCACCTACGCAGGCAAGACTGCCCCTGTCAACGAATCAACTTACATGTTGCATTTATGTGATGATATTAAACGCAGGTCACGTGATACGCACGATGTTTTGAAGATTATAAATGACTTGCACATGGAGCTTTGTCACTATGGTGACAGTAGATCTAAAATATGCCTCTCACTCAAATCTACTTTGAAGAAGTTGTTTGTTCTCAAGAGTTCACCGCAGAGGGCGTGTCACGGCAAATAAACATTACTTTACGAAGAAATTTTGTAGTTAACTTAGCACACTTTCTTGCCTGCTCGTTACAAACATTCCCTGACAACTGACGAAAACCGCAACCATTCCTCTTGGCTGGTACTAGCAACGACTGAATGAGAAATTGAGAGAGCTGAACTACCATGTAATAATAGTATAATAATGGGATATTCCTACCACTGAGGGCGACAGCCAACGCGTACTACTAGGATTGTATGTGAGTTAAAAATAGTCAGTAATTATTGAACTAACCAGAAAGCAATAAACTTTTTTTTATTGTCAGTCATTTTACATTTAAATCACAGTCATGATTCGTCTGGTAAATAATGAACACCGAGAGATTCATAATGTTAATATTTGTGTTTCAGACCAAGTTGTTCCCATAAAGACAGCTGTCTCTGGTGACCTGGGACAGGATTTTTTTCTGTTCTTCATTCCATTTTTCACCAAAAATGTTATATAACACAGTTAAACAGCAACGCTCATGTCAGACAACAAACAAATTCAAACATCAGCCGGGTTAGGAATTTCTAAGAAATCTGCCTTTCCTTTAAGTAGCGCCCTCTGGCGACAAAATGCGGCTGTGATGTCGAAATTACGTGGATTGTTGAAAGCTTGCAATGTCGTTCACAGTGACAACTGTATTTAGTCATGATTTTTTGTATCGATTACAGATCAATATGTTTTCTACGCCTTAATATTAAACTTATTTGCATCACGAAAATGCTTCGTCGTTAGAGAGCTCTAATTAGTGTAGCTCTGAATGAATATACTGTAAAGGGATTAATTATTCACTGGGTTTTAATTTGGCTTATTTCGCTGACTGGAAAATGCGCTAAATAAAACCCAGTGAATATGTAAAATTTAGCATAGAACACATTATCTAAATGATAAAACCGTGAATTTAAAACCCACTGAATATGCCTGAAATGGTAAATCAGTGAAATTTAAACCCAGTGAAAATTAGTCATTTTACAGTAGTTTTTGTACCAAAGATTTTACTATATTGTAGGGTACAAGGTTATACTTTACTTTATTTATTGTACTTTATTCTGTAATTTATAAACTAATCAGAAGACAAGCAATTCAGGAAGAATAAATCTACACGACTCGATTAATTTACTCGCCTCTGACCAAAACTTTATATATGTAACCCAATACTAAGTTGTGGTGTTTCTAATACCAACAACCTGTCTGCCCTTAGATGTACTTGTCATGACATTATAAGTGTTACCGTTCTTCTCTTGTAAACATATTACAAAGAATGAATCCTTAGGATATCGTCTCCAACTTTTGTCACACTTCCAAGTCTTACATTACCCTAAGTTATCACCAATGCAATTGTTTATAGACATCTGACACGAATGAAAGAAATACAGTATTCTATTGAATCCATAAACTTAAGTCATGCATCAACAGTATAGTTTTAAAGACTCTAATTTACTTGACTTTATTTCTGTTCTTCCTGATATATATATATATATATGTTGTTATTTCTGCTGATACAGCTTCCAATAATATAGTTTTTGTTTTTATATAATTGTGAATGCCTCATTAAGGCACTTGGGCGTACTTATTATAATGCATGGTTACAAACTAATAATGTACAATATTTTGTTTGTATGGTAACAGTGAGTATAAAAGTCATGCAATGCAATAATGTATCTGAATATTTTGAGTGAAAAATACTTGCTACATCTTAGGTGTGAACAATTCTGACCAAAAGTGGACAAGAAAAATGAAGTCATCGTAACAACACACAACAAAATTAATTAATATTCATTTCCTTAAATAACACTATATGTACTGTAGTAATATGTTACTGTTATGTTTCTCATGTTTTATTCAATCCAATAATTGTCATTTCCTTTTTATTTTCTTCACAGTACTCATTTGAATCTAAAATAAAGCATTTATTTACTTAGCAGTCACATGACCACATAAAGGTTGTAACTAATGTTACATAGATTTTTAATTAGTGTGAATATGAGCTTTCATAAAATATATAGTTTGATATTCTTTTATGATAATTAGTGTGAACACTTTTGATTTCTACCCTGCATACCATGATAAAATAAAGATACAAAGTAAGAACATTGTAAATCAAGCATTTTTCAAAACAAATATAATTCTACTTAATTTTTTAAGACTGGTAATGACATTATCAGTATGCTAGAGTGACAATGTATTTGACAAATGTTGTCATCTCATTAGAAAATTCTAAGAAAAAAGACATGAATGTCACAGTCCCAGTTATTTAATTATAAAATACACATGTTAAAATAATACATGGAACATCTGCAAACATACATGTCTCATACATGCTCAAGAAACTGCATTCATAAATCTGAGTAAACCTTGATGTACCTTTAATAACAACTTGACTTCTTTGTTAATTCAGGTCTTTGTATATTACCAGGACCTGGGCTTGTTTCATTATCACCACTATAATTCCCATCAAAATGTAGCCCTGACACCCCTCTACATTTTCTACTGAGATTGGTAATGGTATGACCCATCTGTCACTGATTTAGATCAAGGAATGACCAGGTCATGACATCACTAAAATCCTAGCATTACAATCTATTAAAGCTAAATATTTATTCTGAGCATGCTCAGTTGTTCTCTCAGTACAGTGCGAAGAGGTAGTTTTGGATGAAAATCGTGAAAACGACCCACTTAGGATTTTCAGATCTGGAAAAAAAATTACATGCATAATCGACAGAAACTTGTTCATCAACCTGCCAAGTTTTATTGATATCTGTTGTTGTTGGAGACATAAATAGGGGTGGACGGAAGGAAACCAGAAATAATAGTCACCTTTCAGGCTATGCCTGAACAGGGACTAATTAGTTCAAAACAAAAGGTTCAATTGAAATTACAGGCACATATATGAACAAATAAAACACAAAATTCAACTCCCTGTTACACAACATCACACTGCCCCAAAAAAGACAGTATGAAATAGCCTGTAGTGAATGTGCACATACAATGACGAGTTGGATATGCACAATTCTCTGACATCACAATCAATGTAAAGAAGATATGCACAATTCTCTGACATCACAATCAATGTGAAGAAGATATGCACAATTCTCTGACATCACAATCAATGTGAAGAAGATATGCACAATTCTCTGACATCACAATCAATGTGAAAAAGATATGCACAATTCTCTGACATCACAATCAATGTGAAGAAGATATGCACAATTCTCTGACATCACAATCAATGTGAAGAAGATATGCACAATTCTCTGACATCACAATCAATGTGAAAAAGATATGCACAATTCTCTAACATCACAATCAATGTGAAAAAGATATGCACAATTCTCTGACATCACAATCAATGTGAAGAAGATGTGCACAATTCTCTGACATCACAATCAATGTGAAGAAGCCCATTATTATCATGGTCAGAACACATCAATGTTTTGATTTCACTGAGCAGTTAATCTGTCTCATCATTGTCAAATGAAAAACACATACATTTTGAGGATTCAAATAAAATACATGAATGAGTAAGTCACAAATAAGTTGAAAACAAATAAATCCATGAATACAAGAATTATTGATAAAAACTAGATTTTATTTTCCTGCTTTTATGTTACAGTGGAGAATTTAAAAAAAGACTGCCATCAAGGTTGCAACAGATGAAAATTCATTTGTGAACCAGACATTCTCTAAACACTACTAAGCAAACTACTATAGTATATATCATATAGTGCATCTGCTGTTAGTACCAGTGTTTGTTAGTACCAGTGTTTGTTAGTACCAGAGAGGTACACATGTAGTACCTATATATGTAATATCAAAACAAATGGACTTGCGGTTTTTAACAAGTAGTTGAAAATATCACTTTTTACCAAAAATGACAAAAATATTCACCAAAAATAGAGAATTTGAGATTTTGACATGAAATAAGAAAGAACCATCCAAGGTACTAGCATATCAAATTTGAAAACATTCTGACTTGCAGTTTCGAAGAAGAAGTTGAAATTGTAAAGTTGACGCCAACGGACAATCAGTAATATGAACAGCACCGCTGTGTCGACTTTGTCATAGATGTCTTCCAGTCTTCTAGTCTTACAAATGTTCTGAGTAATTTACAGGTCATTCAAATTACTGAAAGTACTTAAAAATAGTTTTTCAATAGCCAGAATAATAAAAAACTACAATAGCAAAATTGACAGCCAGATACTGTCAGGTAATACACACTACTGTGTCTGCCAATATCTAAACTTTCAGAAGATGTATAGTTTGTTATAGCAGCATGCTTAGTAATTTGTAGAGAATGTCTTAATCACAATTCAATTTTCATTTCACGTATTGCTACCTTATAATATAAATATAGTTTCTCTGCTATAAAAATGACTGTTGAGAATAGTCTACAATGCAATAGTTAACTAAAAGTAAATGAACATGACAATACGATCGGAAAGCCTTCTAAGCAAATTGCTAGAAAAATATTACATAATGAAAAATTGAAAATCTGAAAGTACTCGATGAAAGTACTACATGGTCACATGACTGGAGAGTGAAGGCACTCCCACTATCCCAGAAGCCTTTGCTTCACCTTGCATCTAAAATAGTGAGTCATTTATCACAATGAATGGCTCACCAACAGTGATTGGTCACTGAGTGTAGAGGATAAATATGAAATTACAAATGGGAATTGTTCCCTCCAAATAAATACTCAAAATAAACTAAAATAAAGCAATATATCTTTGGAAATTGCGAAAATTAAATTCACAAATAATTTAATAATACTCTTCTTCATCAGGATAACCCCTTTCGTTAGTTCAGTGATTTGTAATTGGCCATTTATTTATAAAACATAATGTTATTGGTTGTGAATCAAAACACGGATGTTTTGACAGTTTAAGTACAATGAAATCTCTTACTGGAGGTGAGAAGGTACTAAACAACAACTCTTTAGTACCCTATTACCGTAAAATCTGTATTAGAAGCCGTATCCCTAATAGAAG